AACTTAAATTCAGTTTGAATTCAAGGTTCTATCAATATGGCATATTGATAGGGGGAGTTTGTTTAAAACTCCGGGAGTCAAGTTTAACTCCGTCATAAATTGGTTGTCATCATCAAAAAGGGGGAGATTGTTGAATCTCGTATTTTGATGATGAAACCAATTGATAATTATGTTTATGTTTAACTGTATTTTGAATGATACAGGTCTACTCGATCAGGATTAGACAGTTAACGTAGGAGGAATTGACGTTGCGCCGGAGGAGATCACATCAAGATATTGGACGGCAGAAGGCTTCGGACGTCGGGTATCGGGCCAAGGAGAGCGAAATTACGCCAAGGATATCGGGGTTGCGGAGGTCAACCGCCGATTGGGCAACACGCTGCAAGAGAGGACGATGCACCGAAGAATCGGACGAAGCGCCAACCAATGACGTGTCGGGCAATAGAATGTCAATTCGCGTTGTAATAATTGTCTAGATCGGAGTAGAGTTTTAGCTTGTGTGTGCAGGATTAACTACGATAACGACGAAGACATAAAGCAAAACAAAGTGTCGGAGTCAAGCACGAAGGATTCATTGCGAGTTCAAGAGTTCGACGGAAGTCCGAAGGTTCGTCGGGAATGCTGCCGGAAATAGCCGAGAATGAGTAGGGAGCTTGCCGAAGGGTTTTTCGGAAGCTCGCCGGACGGTTCGTTGGGAGTTCGCGGAGCTTGCCGAGAAAGATCGGAGCTTGCCGAAGAAGCTCATTGGAACTCGTCAAGATCAAATCATGAAGTCTAGGAGCTTGCCGGGAGTCCGTAGAATGGTTTCCGAGAGTTTATCGGAAAACCGTCGGAAGTTTGCCGGAAGCTCGCCGGAAAAAGTCTTAACTTACGGACTTTGTAATAGCTTAGAAAATGTCTTTAAATTCGTAGTTAGCACGTTAATTAAGGTTAGGATTAGGCGTTAATCCTATAACCCAAGTAGGGGTCAATTGAGCCCGAGTTCGGACTGGTTTGGGCCAAGTTTGGAGCCCAACCAGTGAGCTGAATTGGCCTAGGCGGTGGCACCGCCTAGGCTGGGCGGTGACACCTCCTGGGCTGGGCGGTGGCACCGCCAGCATCGGGAACATAAGAGAATTCAAATTTTTGGAGCCCAAATTTGAATCCTCTTGAGGCCTATAAATACCCCTCAAGTCTCAGCTGAGAACACAACTTTTTGAGCAGCAAGTGATTGAGAGAAAAGTCTTAGAAGAGTCTTTACTAGTCTTGTTTTCAATTTGCTAGTGTTCACCTCCTTCTTTCTTGCTGAAAATCTGTAAGAGAGTGAACCGCTTGTAAAAGTTGTAAGAGGGGTATTTACCCTTCCCTTTCAAGAGATTTGCTAGTGGAAGGTGGGAGCCTCATCGAAGAGGGGCCTCGCAAGTGGATGTAGGTCATTTGACCGAACCACTGTAAAATCGGCGTAATCTCTGGTTTGCATTTACTTATTGTCATTCATATTACTGCAAACCATTTGCACTTTAATGTTATACTGCTTTGTCTCCGTCTTACTTATCTCTTTAAGTTAAAACGCAATCGAAACGGTTTTAAACGAAAACGTTGCTTTTATCGTACGAAGTTTCCGAAAAGTGTTTAAATCGTGAAAAGTTTATCGCACTTCACCGCTGCACTAATTCACCCCCCCCCCTCTTAGTGCCGCTCCGATCCTAACAACTCGCTCCCGAGCCGTGCACCATGGCTATAAGCTCTTAGCTCCCCTACGGGAGGGAGCATTGATAAGGCTATTTAGTCCCACATTGGTTGAGGAGTATGGGAACCAAGGGCTCATAAGTCCGCCAAGTCTCCCTTACCCTTAGAAGCGCCTTTTGGAGCTCACATGCTCCAAAAGGACAAAACCGTGCGGGTACGCCCATCGCTCAAAGCGGACAATTCCTCACGAGCCAACGGGCCGCACCAATGGCCGACCGACCAAATGGTCCCTTATCACTATTGAAGTCATTCTTTTCAATATGTCAATTCAACCATACTCATGAACTTTATATTTAATATTTGTTGTTTCCTTTGTTGTTTGGTGGATCTTGCAAGAATATCATGCCTTCATAGCTTGATAAAAATATAATTGCCAAAACTAGCATATGCTAGGGTTGCTCAATTCAGTGTTTGAAGACTTGTCTAATATATTAAAATTCACATGGTTACCGAAGAAACGCAATCATATTGGCTTGCTCGAAGCCAACAGGATATAGTGATCATTGCTGGTACCAAGGTCCGCAATACCGTACCGTACCGGAGTTTCGACCTGGGCTCGGTACCGGTACGGTACGGTATACCGAGCGGTACACCCAGGTGTACCGCTCGGTATATTTAGGCGTGCCGATCACTGTAGCACTGCTACAGTGCTACAGCGTCGGAACAGTAAAAGACGGTCCGCGTACCGAAAGCCTGTCGGACCGGTACATACCGGACGGTACGATCCGATACTGCAGATCATGGCTGGTACAATCACCTAGAAACCACATGGGCACCAGTGTTAGACATAATTGTTTTTCTTTTCTTATTGTATCAACAAAATATCTATATCCATAAACACAAAAAAGATTTGTCTGTTTCCTTTACATGTCATTGATATTGATATTCTTTTTCTCTTTTTTGTGAACAAACCGATGAACATTATGTAAAAGAATTAAAGCCTCAAAATTAACTGAAACTCAAAAGACCCAGAACAAAACCAAAACTGAAAATGGACTTGGAACCTTGAGTGGTACTGAAGATATGCTGTTTAAAGTAGATACAGCATATCTCACAGACAATATATGTTTCAGAAGGGTCTTTGACTACCTACCTATACTTCATAGACATTATACACTTCAATATCATAGTATAGCTGGTAAAGGATATAGTTTTGTAGCTCAAACTGTGAATAGTTCCAAAGAACACTCTTGTGTTACATAAGTAACCAAGTTCAAGAGAGCAGTCTTGTATAACAGAAGTCATGTTCCAAAAGTTGTAGAACTCTTTTGGGTGATGCAGTGCATATGACAAGAAAATGCTTTAGTATGATAGAAGTAAAACATAACTGGCTTCAGATTATTCTTAAAAATACATAAGAAATTCCCTTATCCTAAATCCTCCATGTAAAACTGTGTCAATGTGGAAATTTCTGAAAGAGCAGTCCCTTTTAAGTAATTTACCACTTTCGTGAAGCTAAATTTGATGCAGAAACAGCTACCACCGTACAGCCCAAAAGTTGTATTGTTGTTTTAGAACCATCAGAATTGGACAAGATTAATGACTGATCCTTAATTTTAGCATATCTTTTGACAGGAATAACCTCCAGGATATCATTTTTCTTTTGTTGTTTGGTCCCTTTTTTTGGCAATTCATCAGTGTTAATTTTTCGAACTTTTTTTGGTTCTAGTACCCAAACTGAGCCCTGGTATTCAAAAGACAATAAAGCATAGATGTCAGCTAATGCAACACATAATGTAAACAGCAATGTTCATACATAGGCACAAATATCAACACGAAAAATGCAATGAAGGTATAACAAATCATGGCTAACTGATTTTTATTGACACATGAAACCATGTTAATACAAGCAATATCTTCAGAACCTATTCTACTTCCAGCTAGCCACAAAAGATTTCAAGAGCTAAAATCTGTCAGAAAAGCTCAACAAGCTCACAGAATTAAAGAAACACATTAGATTAGTTCATGACACTAAATAGCTGAATACATACTAAACGATCTTAATTCAAATTGTTCAGAAAGTTCATCATTGGCAAAGAGCAGTGCATGCAAAATTTTAGATACTAGAAGCAATGTATGGATGACCAATCTGATTCCATTAAATGTACCATATACATATATGTACATGTACATGTACATATACATACATATTTATAACACACACACACACACACATATATATATATATACACATACATGTATATATATGTATATGTATATGTATATATATATATATATACATATACATATACATATACATATACATATACATATACATATACATATACATATACATATACATATACATATATATATATATGTACATACATACATACATACATATATATATATATATATATAATAATAATAATAATACAAATTACCACAAATACATCGCAAATATAAAATACCACTAAAGCACACTCAAATTCCAACATTAGTGTAATGAAACAAAAACTCTAAACCTGTTTCAGTTAAGATCATCGTAGACACAAGAAACTCATATTCCAGGTTACAGATATTTAGTTTTGGCAGAAGTTTCATGAGTTTTTGAGTCCTAATGCATATGATGCTGATAAGCATATAAGCCTCTGAGTCACGATATCTCCTATTGTTAACACAAGGAAAATACCAAATTTAAGAATCCAAAACCAACAAGTGCAAGCCAGAAGAACAAGTCAGATGAACTAATAATGCACTGAGCAAGTAAAAGGACTAGCTTCACTTAAAGGGTCATTGGTGCAAGGACTACGTGGAGCACCTCAGGACCTATCCCTGAAGATATAAAACTTCTTCTTATTGCTAAATGCTATGGCTGCTCTTACTAATTCATAAGAATCATTGGGAAATTGGGAATTACTACCAAATTGCATTCTTTGAGATGTCAGTAAAACGACAGATTGGCAAGTCATTCTTAGACGTTGTTAAGCAAAAGTCATCATATATGGTTCTATTTTTCCTCATCATCATTCAGATAACTATCCCTAATTTTCCTCAAGTAGAAAACCAATGGCACAGGACATCAACCATCCAAAAAAAGCAAGTTTCAACATCTATTTTAAATGAAATCCTAAGAACTCACCAAAACCGGACCCATAAAACAAGGAAAACTACCAAGACCAAACCCAATTCGATACCAAAAGAAGCAAAAGGCCAGCGAGCAAATCGATTAGAAGCACCGACCTTCTTCTCAAAGGGAACAGTGAGCGACCGCTCGGCATCGAGACCGCGGGCGATCAACTGCGACCGGGAGGCCACGCCCACAGCGAGCCGCTTCCGGCGGAGGCGACCCATAAGCCACAGGAAGGCCAAGCCCTCGGCGGCCACCAGGGCCACGAACCCCGCCACGAAGCCGAACAAGAAGGAGACGAGCATCGTCTTCGCATCGACGGGAGGCCACCGAACCCTAATCCGAGGGGTTCTTCCAAGATCAAAGGAACGAAAATCGGAAGAGAGAAGGGAGGCGAATCGGCCACTCTCTCGCTCCCTATCGGGGATTAAGCGCCACTACCGAGTCATTTCGTCGAACGCTTCTAACATAATGCGAGACCGCTTCAAACGCCGGCGCTTTAGATTTGTTGGGTCGAGATAAAATGGACGTGAAGACTGAGATATTGGGGCCCCAAGCTAACGGTCTATGGGTGGGGACGAATTTAATGCTACGTCATTAGAGAAACAGAGCTTCGAAAAGGCACACGAACACGTGGCAGAAATCAAGGGTGGTAATTAAATCTCCATGATGGTAAAATTAATGGTTACGATCACTTGCATCTTTTTGTGGGTTTGAAAATTATTAAGCTTCTCTTTTAATAAGTTTATAATAATTATATTTTTTTTAAAATGTTATTTTACATTTCCATTCTTCTAAAGTTTTGTAGCGTCATGTTTACCCTTAATTTAATATGACATTATATATTTAATTTTTAATAAATGAGTCTGATATATTATCAATCATACCAATATTTAATTTTGAGTGTGTGTATATCAATCTTCTTTACTGTGACTAGAAGAATAACAACATGATATTGGATGTTTCCTGTTGATAGAGAATATTCTCTCATATGGATTATGTCATTTGATCGGAAGAAAACAAGTATAGCCTTCATATTTCTTATCAAATTTTTAATTTGCATGACACTCCATCTGCTTATGAATTATCAACTATAAATCTAAAATAATATGACTGACAAAACTTCTATCTAAATTGATGAATCAGCATGACAATTGACATCGGGAGGATGGAGTAAACTAAACATAGTGAATGATTATATATATATATATATATATATATATGTCGCATGCTGATTTATTGGAATGATTATTCTGCATTTATATGTTAAGCTTTTAATTTAGATTAGCAACATCAAACACATTAAACTCATAAGCTAAATGGAAACGTAGCAATTAACAGCAACCATCTAAACCAACACATTAAACCCCCCACAAACAACGATGCTTAGCGGACTAATGTACACGTACAGGAGCAGCTTAATTAAGAGAGAGAGAGAGAGAGAAAGAGAGAGAGAGAGAGAGAGAGAGAGAGA